TCAGCAGACACATGCTCACTAACAAGCTCACATGTACAAAGACTACACACCAGCTCACATGCCCAGCACAGACACAAGCTCACTAGCAGCTTGCACACACATGGCGAACACATGCACTCACATGCACAGATGCACTCACACTTGCTCACAAGCACACACTTGGAGAGACACGCTCAGGCACACAGAACACACACATCAGCTCACATCTCTCACCCACCTTTTAGTCCACAAACAGATGTGGCCTCAGAGAACACCCATGGCTTACACGAAGTCACACATACACATTGGCACACAGATGTACACTCCTTACAAGCTCTCACACAATACATACCGGTTCACAAGCCTATACACGCTTACTGGTACACAGACACGTGATCATTAACAAGTTTCACACAGAGCACACTCACCAGCACACACACACTAACAAGCTCAAACACATGGAGAACACACACTAGCTCACACGCTATCAAACAACTGCTAGAACACAGACGCGTGATCATTAGGAAAGTCACATGGAGAACACAAAGCAGCTTACATGCTTTTACTTGCTCACCTGATACACGCATCAGCAAGCTCACGAAGAACAGACTGGTTCACACACTTTTACATCCTCACCTGCACACACTCATCAGCAAGCTCACAAAGAAACACTAGTTCACATGTTTTTACATGCTCACCTGCACACACTCATCAACAAGCTCACAAACACTAGTTCACATGGTTTTACACACTCACCCACACACACTCATCAACAAGCTCACAAACACGAGTTCACAGGCTTTTACATCCTCACTAGCATGCACTCATGAACAAGCTCACAAAGAACACACTGGTTCATACGCTTTTACACGCTCCTTAGCACAACGCATCAACCAGCTTGTGCACAGAGAACACACACCAGCTCACACGCTTTCACACACTCACTAGCAAACACTCATTAACAAGTTTGTGCACAGAACACATTGGCTCACACACTTTCACACACTCACAAGTACACATACTTCTTAATCGGCTCATGCGCACAGGGAACATACTAGTTCACGTGCTCACACATGCTTGCTGGCACAGATACACTCATTAACAAGCTCACACAGAGCACACGCACTGGCTCACATGCTTTCACATGCTCACCAGCACACTCACTAACAAGCTCACACACAAGAAGACACTGACACACTTATACATGCTCACTAGCGCACACTCATTAACAAGCTTACAAACACAGAGAGCACATACCGGCTCACACACTCACTAGCGCAGACACATGCTTACTAACAAGCTCACACATAGAGCACACACTGGCTCACACATTTACACACTCACTAGCATATACTCAGTAAGTCTGCACAGAGAACACACCAGCTCACACGTTCACATGCTCACTGACACACTCATTAACAAGCTTGCACACACACAGAACACAAACTAGCTCACACACATGCTTGCTGGCACACAGACATGCTTATTAACAAGTTCTCATAGCACACACACCAGTTTGCCCATTTTCACACACTCACCAGCACATACACACATTAACAAGCTCACACAACATGTTAACTCATCCTTTACATACTCGCTAGCACACACTCATTACCAAGTTTGTACACAAAAAGCACACACACTGGCTCACATGTACACACTAGCGTATACTCAGGAAGTATGCACACACAGAGAACACACGCTCATTAGAGCCTCAGAGAACACACCAGCTCACATACCTTCACATGTTCACTGCCACACACACACACTGATTCAGAAGTTCACACACAGAGAACACACACTGCCTCACACGCTGTCACGCTCACTAGCACACAGACACACTCATTAACAAGCTCACACACGCGGAGAACACACATCCATTGTCTTGCACACTTCCTACAGCTGGCCAGACACTGAGTCTACACAGACACACACTTACTGGTTCACACACCCACTAGCACACAGACACACACTCATTTTAAGCTCACACACACACATTGGCCCACACACTCTTAACACCTGTGGGGGCACAGACACGCAACTGTGACCAAACTCCCCGTCCTCAGCTCCAGGGCAGGGGTGGGCACCCACCTCGGCCCTCGGCGGTGTAGCCCAAGCCGTGGGGGCACAGCTTCCTGTAGGCGGAGGTGCCAGGCAGGGGACAGAGCTCACAGTGGGGCCCCCAGCCGCGGCCCCCCACGCAGCAGCACTCCGCCCTGCCGACCACCTCACCATTGCTTGAGGGCGCCTGGCACACCGCCTGCAGCACCTCGGAGAAGCAGGGGCCGCGCCGGGTGTCTGCAGAGAGTGGTGGGAGGGGGTGGCGGGGGTGGTGCATGAGGACCATGCAATCAGGCACCCACACCCCGGGCTCTCAGACGTCTCTGACGCGCCCGTGAGTGTGCATGGGGCGGAATCGTGCGAGTCATCACGTGCCTGACACTGCTAGACACCCTCCCTGGGCTGGGATGTGGCAGGACCTGCAGACCCAGAGATGAGGGACGAGCAAGCCCCTGGCCACGGAGACTGATGTCTTCCTGACGAGAAAGCATGGCCGCCCTTTGATCCCAGAGAGAACAGGTGGGCCAGGGGACATCAGGGAGGGGGCTATGGGGGCAGTGCCCTGGATGGACCAGTGGGGACAAGGTGGAGGGGTGATGCAGAGGGATGTGTGGGAGTGGGGAGGACAGATCTGGAGACTGGACTTCGGGGTGAGGCAGAAGATGCCACTGGTGACGCCCAGGGGGCTGCTTGGGTGTCCGGGAGGTGCTGGGGTCGATGCTGAGCTTGCTTTGGGGTGAGCTGTGTCTGGGGGCTGGGGGTGTCCAGGAGGCAGCCAGACACAGATCTGGGCACAGACATGGCGGCTGCAACTGTGGGGGTAGGGGCTGCACTGGGGTCGGGGGGAGGGTGGATGTTGTCGGGGACTGAAGTGTGTGTGTGTGGGGGACAGACAAGTTCCGAGGGTGGATGGTACCAGCAGGCAAGCACCGAGCGACGCCCACAGGTTCAGCCCGCAGGAAGCGGTGGGCCTGGGGAGGGCCTGCACTGGGGTCTGAGGAGTCGCGGGAGCCGGGTCAGGGGGCACAGTCAGCTCTTACAAGGAGTGTGACTGAAGGGATGGAAGGGGAGAGTAGGGGGTGGAGATTTCTGTCCAGATAAGCTCAGCACCCCCTCCACGTCTGCTCGGTGCCCCAGACCCCATCCCTGCCTGCGCCCTGAGTCTGGCCACGCTCACCCCGGCATTCAGTGAGGGAGGGGCTGGGCTGGAAGCCGTCGTCACAGTCACAGCGGAAGCTTCCCATGGTGTTGACACAGCGGCCGTGGGCACAGAGGCCAGACTGGGCATGGCATTCATCCTCATCTGGAGGGGAGGGCAGGTAGGGGATGGGACAGGCAGGCCAGCTGGAGGCCAGAGCCCACGAAGGTCTTCCTCGGGTCTACCTGCTGGCCCTCACCCTGATCTCCCGGCTTTGTGGGGATCCCTGCAGCCTGGGAGCCCACACTCCTGCCTGCCTGTACCTATGCAGCCCTCCTCGGAGCCGGGCTGGGGCCACGTGCCCGGCGGGCAGACACACGCGAAGGTGCCGATGAGGTTCTTGCACATCATGCCGCGGGCGTGGCAGTCCTGCTGGCCGTCGGCACACTCGTCCACGTCTGCAGACAACCATGAGCGTATGGTGGCCTGGGCTGTGGGGACTGGATCCTGTCCCTGGGAAGGAAGCCACCAGCCCCCGCCCAGCCTACCCCAGGGCTTTGAGAAGCCAAGGGGGTCAAGACTGACGCCAGCACCACATCCCCTGGCCATGCCAGGGTCTGGGGTCATCCCTGAGTCTGTCTGGCCTTCCCCATGGCCCGTGGAACATTTCACCAGAAACAGCCCTTGAAGGACCAAGTCCCAGCCCAAGACTTCTCTGCCTTAGCCATCCAAACCTGTCGAGTCGACTCCAACTCATAGAGACCCCATGTGTGCCAGAGTAGAACTGTGCTCCGTAGGGTTTTCATGGTTGTGACCTTTTGGAAGGAGCTCTGGTGGCACAGTGGTTAAGTGCTCGGCTGCTAACCAATGGGTTGGCAGTTCAAATCCACCAGTTGACTGCTTCCATAAAGATTTCTGGCCTTGGAAACCCTATGGTGCAGTTCTACTCTGTCCTACAGGGTCACTAGGAGTCAGAATCGACTCAACGGTTGTTGGGCAGAATTGTGCTCCATAAGGTTTTCAGTGGCTGATTTTTGGAAGCAGACCACCAGTTCCTTTCTTTCAAGGTGACTCTGGGTGGACTTGAACCACCAACTACCCGGGGACTCCCTGCTAGCCCTAGATAAGATAAAACCCAGACCAAACCTGTTGCTGTCGAGACCATCACGTGTCTGTCAGTTTGTCGTACTGTGGTGGCTCGCGTGTTGCTGTGATGCTGGAAGCTATGCCACCGGTATTTCAAACACCAGCAGGGTCACCCTTGGTGGACAGGTTTCAGCTGAGCTTCCAGACTAAGAAACACTAGGAAGAAGTACCTGGCAGTCTATTTCTGAAAAAACTGGCCAGTGAAAACCTTATGAATAGCAGTGGAACACGGTCTGATATAGTGCCAGAAGATGAGCCTCTCAGGATGGAAGGCACTCAAAAGATGACTGGGGAAGAGCTGCCTCCTCAAAGTAAAGTCAACCTTAATGACGTGGATGGAGTCAAGCTTTTGGGACCTTCACCTGCTGATGTGGCACGGCTCAAAATCAGAAGAAACAGCTGCAAACATCCATTAATAATTGGAATGTGGAATGTACGAAGTATGAATCTAGGAAAATTGGACACCCCCAAAGAACCACTGTCATCGAGTCAATTCCAACTCATAGGGCCCCATAGAGTTGCCAAGGCTGTTAAATCTCTCTGGAAGCAGACGGCCACATCTTTCTCCCACGGAGCTGCTGATGGTTTCGAATCGCCGATCTTTTGGTTTGCAGTCGATTGCTTTAACCACTGTGCCACTAGGGGCTCCTTAAAACCATACCTGTTGCCATTGAGTCGATTCTGACTCACAGCGACCCTATATTTTCCTTGCTATGAGGAAAACTGGAAGTCGTCAAAAATGAAATGGAATGTATAAAGATTGATATCCTAGGTATTGGTGAGCTGAAATGGACTGGTATTGGCCATTTTGAGTCAGACAGTTATATGGTCTACTCTGCCAGGAATGACAACTTGAAGAGGAATGGCATTGCGTTCATCATCAAAAAGAACACTTCAAGATCTATCCTGAAGGACAACGCTGTCAGTGATAGGATAATATCCATACGCCTATAAGAAAGACCAGTTAATGTGACTATTATTCAAATTTAACACACCAACCACTAATGCCAAAGATGAGGAAAGTGAAGATTTTTACCAGCTTCTACAGTCTGAAATTGATCAAACATGCAATCAAGATGCATTGATCATTAGTGGTGATTAGAATGTGAAAGTTGGAAACGAAGAAGGATCAGTACTTGGAAAATATGGCCTTGGTGACAGAAATGACACAGGAGATCACATGATAGAATTCTGCAAGACCAATGACTTCTTCATTGCAAACACCTTTTTCCAACAACATAAACAATGACTATACACGTGGACCTCACCGGATGGAAAACGCAGGAATCATATTGACTACATCTATGGAAAGAGACGATGGAAAAGCTCAATATCACCAGTCAGAACCAGGCTAGGAGGCTGACTGCAGAACAGATCATCAATTGCTCATATGCAAGTTCAAGCTGAAGCTGAACTTAAAACAAATCCATTAGAGCCAATATATGGCCTTGAGTATATCCTACCTCAATCTCGAGACGATCTCAAGAACAGATTTGATGTATTGAACACTAATGACCGAAGACCAGACGAGTTGTGGGATGACATCAAGGACACCATACAGAAGAAAGCAAAAGGCCATTTAAAAAACAGGAAAGAAAGAAAAGACCAAAATGGATGTCAGAAGAGACTCTGAAACTTGCTCTTGAACATAGAGTAGCTAAAGTGAACGGAAGAAATGAAGTAAAGCAGCTGACCAGAAGATTTCAAAGGGCAGCTTGAGAAGACAAAGTAAAGTGTTATAACGAAATATGCAAAGACCTGGAGTTAGAAAACTGAAAGGGAAGAACACGCTCGGCACTTCTCAAGTTGAAAGAACTGAAGAAAAAATTCAAGCCTTGACTTGCAATTTTGGAGGATCCTATGGACAAAATATTGAATGATGCAGGAAGCATCCAAAGCAGATGGAAGGAATACACAGTGTCACTGCACCAAAAAGAATCGGTTGCGTTCAACCATTTCAGGAGGTAGCTTGTGATCAACACCCGATGGTATTGAAGAAGAAATCCAAGCTGCACTGAAGGCATTGGCAAAAAACAACTTATCATTGAGCAGAGCTCCTTAGGTAAGATAAAACTCCACAGTTATAAGGCCCTAAGGTGCTGCTGTCTTCAGAGCTCTCTGACCCAGGGACTCCCCTATCTTTCCAGGGTTTTCATATTCTCCCCCGCCTTGCCCCTGGGTAACCTCCTGCTATGCGGGAACCCCCGCCCGTTGTGGCCATCAGTGCGTCGTCCCCAATAAATAGCTTGCTGTGCAATGTTAGCCTAGTGGTCATATCTCTTTCCTTGATCAGCCTCAAAATCCCTCAAACTCACTACAAAACAGAACCACAACTCATAACCGAGCATATACCGCAGGCTCAGTGGGGGCCGTGTTGGTTCAGTGATAAAAATTCTTGCCTTCCGTGTGGTAGGCCCAGGTTCAATTCCTGCCCAATGCAGCTCATGTGTAGCCACCACCCATCTATCAGGGGAGGCTTGCATGTTGCTGTGATGCTAAACAGGTTTCAGCGGAGCTTCCAGACTAAGATGGACTAGGAAGAAAGGCCTGGTGATTGACTCCTAAAAATCAGCCAGTGAAAACCCTATGGATCTTCTCATCAACGTCACTGAATTGTACACACAGAAATTGTTCAATCGGTATACGTGCTGTTGTGTACATTCTCAACAACAACAACAACAAAACGCCATGGAGCACAACTGTTCAATCTGCAACTGATCATGGGGATGGTGCGGGACTGGGCAACATTTTGTTTGGCTGCACTGTGCACGGGGGCACCATGAGTTGGGGGCCGACTCGATGGCAGCTGACAACGACTGCTGCAGGCTCACTCAGCTCAGCGCCCCCCCATCACTGACTGCTCGTTGCCACCCCTGGAGGCACAGATTCTTATTCCCTGAGTCACAGACAGGAAGTGGAGAAGCTGGGATCACCCCTAGGTCTGTGTGACTCTGGGGCCCACCATGCTGACCTATGGTGTTTGCATGGGGGTCTCAGGGCCCAGGGTGGGAACCCCAGGCTGGCCCTGCCCATCGCCCACCTGCCTGCCCACCTCGGCACATGGCTCCGTCCTCCCGCAGGGCGTAGCCAGCTGGGCAGGTGCACGTGTAGGAGCCCTCGGTGTTATGGCAGCGGAAGGCACAGAGCAGGGGGTTCAAGGTGCACTCGTCAACATCTGAGGAGGCCGGCGGAGGCATTGGCTAGGCAGGATCTGCCTGTGGGACACCCTTCTGCCCCCAGGTACCCCCGGCACCCCAGCACCCAGCACAGGCCCTAGCAGGCAGGCCGTACCCTCACAGGTCATCATGGGGCCAGGCTCAAAGCCGTCAGCGCAGGCGCACTCGAAGCCTCCTATGACATTGGTGCACGTGCCTTCCCCACAGGGGTGCCCGATGGAGCACTCGTCTGTGTCTGGGGTGGGGGCAAGGGTGGTCAGTGCCTGCAGAGTGCCCCCCATCCTCACTGCTATCCTGTCCACCTCCCCGCTGATGCCACAGACAGGACTGGGCCAGAGCTAGGTCATCTCTAGGCAGGGTGCAAGGCAGGCATGCTGGTACATGTTCGACTAAAGAATGATGAGTATGTGACTGAATGAGTGAGTGCATACATGAGTTGATGAATGAATGAGTGAGTGGGTGAATGAATGAATGAGAGCAAGCAAATGAATAAGTGACTGAAGGAGTGAATGATGAATTTGAGAAGAAATAATTGAGTGAATGTATGAATGAGAAAAGGAGTAAATAAGTGACTGGATGAGTGAATGAGTAATGAGTGGGGGATGAATGAATGAATGAATGAATGCATGAATGAACAAGTGAGAGAACAAATGAGTGAATGAATTAGTATGAGTGAATGAAGGAGTGAATAAATGAATGATGGGTGAATGAGTGTTAGTGAGTGAATGAATAACTGATAAGTGAATGAATGAATGAGAAAGAAACGAGTGTATGAATGAATGAGTGAATGAGTGAGTGAAAGAGTGAGTGAATGAAGGAGGGAAGGAATGAGTGAATGGGAGAGTAAGCGTGGGTGAGGGAAGGCTCCTGACCTCAGGGCTGTCTGTCCTGCTCCCCTGTTCCTCCCTCCCCTGGAGGGGCTGGGCGGGCTCACTCACCCATACAGCTGATGCCGGTAAAGTCCAGGCTGTAGCCAAAGGGGCACTCACAGCGGAAGGAGCCGTCGGTGTTGACGCAGAGGCCGTTAGAGCAGATGCTGGGGCTCTCCACACACTCGTCCACGTCTGTGGGCAGCATGGGTTGTAGGCAGGCAGGGTGGGCGTCTATCACATGCAAGGGTCCAGCCTCCTCCCTCTCGGGGAATGAAGCCCCAGGCCCCAGGCCAGTAGGGTCCAGGGCAGCCCTGAGAGCCACCCATTGGTCTTGGAGGGTGCCTGGAACTTGGGGACACAAGCAGAGTGGGAAAGGACAGGGTGTGGGTGGCACAGGGGACTCTTAGCACATGGGTGAGGGGCTCACCTTCTCGAGAGTCATCCAGGCTGGGCACTGCCCCATGACCAAAGGGGCACAGTTCCTGGAAGATAGCTGGACACAGGGGAGGGGTGGGGAGTGGCGGTCAGGAGCCAGGTGCAGCCCCCATGGGGAGGGGAGCACCAACGGAGGCCAGCAGGCAGAACCACAGTCAGCTCTGCCCTCACAGGGGCGCTCACCACTGCCCTCCTGGGGACACAGCTCGCAGGGGTCCCCCCAGCCCTCGCCAGGCCGCTTGCTGCAGCAGCACCGGGCCTTGGTGGTGTTGAAAGCTTTGGGCGTTGAGCACTTTCCACCCTGGAAACGGGTGAAGCAGAAGCTCCGCCGCATGTCTGTAGGATGAGAGAATGAATGTGTGAATGAGGGAGGGAATGAATGAATGAATGAGTGAATGAATGAATGAATGAGTAAATGAATGAGTGATCAAATGAATGCAAATGAATAAATGAGGGTGCAAATGCATTAGTGAGTGAATGAATGAATGAGAAGGAATAAATGAGCGAGTGAATAAATGAGTGAGTTTCTTGCTAGACAAACGCTGTACTAGCCATCAGCGGGGCTGCCTGCCCAGTGCACCTCCCCTACCCCAGTCCCTGGGAGTGGGTGGTGCTGACCCACCAGCAGCCAATCAGAACTCTCCAGGCCTCTGGCCATGAGGATTGGTGACCCACACTGGGCCAATGAGGGTCAGCCCTGGGGCTTTTGCTGGACCTCTGGGAATCCCTCCCAGCCATGTACTGCCCACCTTCACGGCTATGGGGGGTGCCCCCCTGCCAGGGAGAAGGGGTCAAACTTGGCCACATTATTTTTGGATCAGAAGCCCCTTGCTGGAGAGGCAAAGTGACAGATTCCAGAGATCCAGAGGATCCTGGACTTCAGACTCCAAATCCTCCTTGCTGATCCCCAGCCCCAGACTCCCTTCAGCCCGAGACGTCCTCAAGGGTAGGCTGGCATTTGGCTCACCCCAACCCCCACAATGGCCCCCCAAACAACAAACATAAGTTGAATTGACCCACAGGCCCCTGCCCTCATCCTCAATGCCCCTAACCTGTGAGAGAAGAGGCTGGCTCAGATTACCTGAGGCTAGCCCACTCTGGACAAGGCTAGCCAAGCTGAGAAGAAGCCATCCCAGAGTGGCCTAGGTTAGCTCAGACTGGACTAGACTAGCCGGACAGGACAATGATGGTTCCTACAGGACAACCTAAGCCAGTGGGCCAGCCCAGCCCAGGAGGGACCAGGTTAGCCCTCTGTAGAAGTGATCTGTCTGGGCAAAAGCGTGCTTGGACTAACATTAAAAATCCAGTTGCTGTTGAGTCAACCCCCATTCTTGGCACCCCCATGTGTGTCAGAGTAGAACTATGCTTCATAGGGCTTCCAATGGCTGATTTTTCAGAAGTAGATCACCAGGCCTTTCTTCCAAGGTGCCTCTGGGTGGGCTCAAACAGCCAAACCTTTGGTTAGCAGCTGAGCATGTTAACAGTTTGCATCACCCGGGGACTCCTGGACTAGCCTAACCACCACCAACACAGAGAAACATCGCTCCCTGGTCAGACTTCTGGAGTTTCAGACAAGAAACCTCAGCCTCTTTTTCTGGGTGATTAAGACCCTGACTTCCTGCCCCACCTCCCAGCCTCTTCCCCAGGCGCTGCATGCTCCCTGGGCCCCAGACTCACCAAAGCAATGGCGCCTGTTGTCAGAGAGGATGAAGCCGGCCGGGCAGAGGCACTGGAAGCTTCCAGGACTGTTAATGCAGGTGCCAAAGACACAGAGGTTGGGCTCCTCTGAGCACTCGTCGATGTCTGGAGGGGCAGGGACAGGAGCCAGGTGGGACCACACCCTCCTCAGCAGGTAAAGCAGCGCCTCTGCTGGGGGGCCCAGCCAGGGAGGGCAGGGGTCCCCAGAGCACTAGGTGGGCAGTGCGGGGGGTCTTTCCTAGAAGGCGCCTCCAGGATCTGGGGCCATGGTCAGGGAAAGTCCATCCTTAGAGACTAAAATTGTACCAAGTTAACTGAGACTGGATAAATGTAGCCTATACTGGATGAGGTTAGCCCAGATTGTACTAGGCTAGCCCAGATGGATTAGACTAGAGGAGGGGAGGCCAGACTGGTCCAGGTTAGCCCAGACTTTATGAGACTAGCCCAGGTGGATGACTACACCAGAGAAGGGCAGGTCAGATTGGTCCAGTTTAGCCCAGGCTATGCGAGGCTTGCCCGGATGGAAGATCTTTGACCCATGGGACTGGCAGAGGTCAGGCCTGACAACTCCAGCCCACACTTTCCATCCTAGCCCAGGTGAAAGACCGTACCAGAGGAAGTCAAGCCAGACCAGTCCTGATTAGCCCAGACTGTACAAGGCTAGACTAAAAGAAATACTGGACCAGAGCAAGTCAAGCCAGATCAGTCCAAGTTAGCCTAGATTGTATGAGGCTAGCCCAGACTATGAGGCTAGCCTCCTATTAGTCTACATAGGAGAGCAGGCCGACTGGTCCAGGTTAGCCCAGGCTGTTTGAGGATAGCCCAGATCAAAGAATAAAATAGATGAGGTCAGGCCAGACCACTCTAGCCCAGGTTGTACGAGGCTAGCCCAGATGAAAGACTGGCTCAGAGGAAGTCCAGAGGGACTGGTCCAGGTTAGCCCAGATTATATGAGGCTAGCCCAGATGAAAGACTGGACTAGATGAGGGCAGGCCAGACTGGTCCAGGTTAGCCCAGACTGTATGAGGCTAGCCCAGATGGATGCAGTTAGCCTAAACTGGAGACCAGCCCAGACTGGTACAAGTGTACAAGGCTAGCCTAGGAGGAGGGCTGCTTGAGGGTCTGCTGTGTGGGCTCTGTCAATTCAATGTGACCACTCTCTGGTCAGTGTGCCTGGCTCTGCAAAGCTGACAGGCCAGCCTTTGGCCAGGACTGGCAGGAGTCTCTGTGACACTCGTGTCTCTCTGGTATCTTCTATCCACAGAGCTTAACCAACCATGACAGGAACTCAAAGGCTGAGAAGAAAGGGGGCAGTCCACTCTGTGCAGATGGTTTTCAAAGACTCAGATTCCCCCAGTGGCTCCTCTCACTGTCAGCACTGTGACAAGTAGCCACACAAACAATGACTGAGCACTTCTTGTGTGCCAGACCCTGGGCTGTGCTACCTCATGCTGATTCATGTCATCACCAACCTGTTATCAGCTTCCCCACTGTACAGACGAGTAAACTGAGGCTACAACTGGCCCAAGGTCACACAGCCAGCAGTGAGAGAGATGCTTCTTTCAACTCTATCTCTCAAAACCTCGACCACCACTGACCGAGTGAGGAATTCTATGTTTGGATGCTCGGAGGTGAGGTGAGACCCCACCTACACCGATTTTATAGGGTTCATGAGGACATTTGTGGCCTCGGAGAGAGAGCGCTGACCTGGGAGTCCAAAAGCAATCATAATAGCAATAACGGCATATGGAGCTATGCCTGGTGCTATGCTGAGTGCATCTCCACCCTCTCCATGACCCAACTGGTATTCCCATTTTACAGATGGGGAAACAGAGGCCCAGAGGCATCTTCCTGGCCCCAGAGACACTCACCGACACAGTGGTCACTTTGCACCTGGAAGCCGGGGGGGCAGATGCAGCGGAAGGAGCCCTCAAGGTTCTGGCAAGTTCCCGGCAGACAGGTCCCCGCCAGGCTGTGACACTCATTGATGTCTGTGGAGGAGAAGGAGGGGGTCCTAGCGCCAGCCAGGGGGCAGGGGGCTCTTGGACTGAGACCAGCACCTGTGGACACTGCATGTTGGCCAAGGGCCCCAGAACAAGCCCTCCCAGTGGCAGCTCTGGCTCCAGGGGAAGGGCTGAGACCCAAGAAAGCAGCAACAGTTAGGGAAGAATTATCTGGACCCTTGTGGTTACAGGTGGAGCTAAGTGGTGTCCAGGAGGAAGAGGGAGCAAGGGTGTTAATCTCAAGCCACTTATAGACCCTTTCCCAGTTTCCCTGGTATCTACTTAGCACCTCAACTATTCCTTACTCCAGAAAACTTAAGATTTTCAAGACAGCTTCACCCTAAACCACAAAACCACAGAACATGGGTGTGATGTGTTGACTTTGTTTTCCTCTTATACCTTCAAATAAAGACATGGTTCTTAAACTGAACCATACTTACTCAGAAGCACCAACCACAGGTCAACCTGGAGCAGGGGCTAGGTGGGGTGGCCTCCCAGCACCATGCAGAGACTCACCCATGCAGTTTTTCCCATCAGCCATAAGCTCAAAGCCATCCTGGCAGAGGCAGTGGAAGGAGCCGGCTGTGTTGAGGCACTGGCCAAATCGGCATACCTGCCCTACCAGGGTGGTGCACTCATCCACATCTGCAAAAGGGGAGATGGGAAGCCTGGGGTTACCCACAGAGCCTGAACGGACTGAGCACTCGTGTGCCAGGCTCTGTATATTATCTCATTTAGTCTTCCAACTATCTAAGTATTGATATTTTCTAATATAGGCATTTGATGCTATGAATTTGCCTCTAAGTACTCCCTTAGCTGCAGCCTACAAATTTTCATAGGTTGTGTTTTCATTTAATTAAAAATGTTTTCTAATTTCCCTTATGATTTCCTCTTTGCCCTATGGGTTATTTACAAATATGCTGTTTAATTTCCAGGGTCCCTGGGTGGTGTAAACAGTTATGCGCTCAGCTGTTAACTGAGAGGTTGGAAGTTCAAGTCTACCTAGAGACACTTCGGAAGAAAGCCCTGGCCACCTACTTCCCAAGGATCAGCCATGGAAAACCTTATGGAGCATAGTTCTACTCTGACACACACAGGGTCACTATGAGTTGGAGTTGACTTGATGGTAACTGATTAATTTCCAAATAGTTGGGGATTTTTCTGGATATCTTCCTGTAATTGACTTCAGTTCTTTTAAATTTGTTAAGGTCTATTTTCTGGCCCAGAATATGCTGTTTATTGAATTTCCATAAGCACATGACAAGAATATATATCCTGCTATTGTTAGGTGGAATGTTCTACAAATATCAATGGGGTCTAGGTGGTTAAAAGTGTTATTCAGGTCTTCTATATCCTTACTGGTGTTCTTTCTACTTGTTTTCTCTATTATTGAGATAGAAGTGTTGAAGACTTCAACTATAATTGTGAATCTATTTCTCTTACCATTTCTGTTAGTTTTTGCTTCATATATTTTGAAGCTCTGTTGTTACATGTACATGCATTGATGACTGTTACGTCTTCTTGGAGAATTCACCCCTTAATCATTATATAATGTCTCTCTTCATCTCTGGTAATATTTCTTGTTCAGAAGTCTACTTGGTCTGCTGTTAATATAAGGTTGTTGCTGTTAGCTGCTGTCAAGTCAGCCCCTGACTCATGGAGACCCCATGCACAATGGAACAAAATGCTGCCTGGTCCTGCGCCATCCCCATGATCGGCTGCAGATCAAAGTGTTGTGGGTTTTTTGAGCTGATCTCCAGAAGTCAACCACCAGGCCTTTCTCCCTAGTCTGTCTTAGTCTGGAAGCTCTGCTGAAATTTGTTTGGCATTATAGCAACACGCAGGTCTCCACTGACAGATGAGGGGTGGCTGTGCATGAAGTGCACTGGCCGGGAATCAAACATGTCTCCTGCATGAAAGGCAAGAATTCTACAACTGAATCACCATTGCTCTCTCTCTCTCTCTCTCCGTATATATATATACACATATGTGTATATATGAGTGTGTATATATACATATACATATACACACACACACATATATACACATATGTATATATATATATAAAACCCACTGCTGTCAAGTCAATTCCGACTCATAGTGACCCTGTAGGACAGAATAGAACTGCCCCCTAGGGTTTCCAAGGAGCTGCTTGTGGTTTCAAACTGTCGACCCGATCTTTTGGTTAGTTGTGGAGTTCTCAACCACTGCGCCACCAGTGCTCCACCCTCAATATAGGATAACCAAAATCCATTGTCATCAAGTTGATTCGGACCCATAGCGACCTATTACGACAGAGTAGAACTACCCCATAAGGTTTCCAAGGCCGTAATCTTTATGGAAGCAGACTGTCACATCTTTCTCCTGTGGAGTGGCTGGTGGGTTCGAACCACCAACCTTTCAATTAATAGCTGAGTGCTTTAACCATTGCGCCACCAGGTCTCCTTCAATATAGGATGTTGTTGTTAGGTGTTGTCGAGTCGGTTCTGACTTATAGCAACTCTATGTACAACAGAACGGAACTGCCCGGTCCTGCACCATCCTCTCAATCGTTATGCTTGAGCTCATTGTTGAGGGTCTTCCTCTTTTTTGCTGACCCTCTGCTTTATATAGGATAGGTAGTACTATTAACCCCCATTTTACAGATGAGGACACTGAGGCACCGAGAGGTTAAATGACTTGTCTAGGGTCACACAGCTGGTAGGTGGCAATGCTGGGATTTGAACCCCTGCTGCCTGACTCAGAGTCCATGCTTTTAAGCACCATCCCAAACAGCAGCTTCACATCACTCAGCTCTTGCCTCATTTTGTCACCTCCCTCTCTGCAATGTCATCTCTCCCCATCAGCCTCAGTGTAAACTCTGACAACGACCCGCCCACATCCCCTCAACTGAAGGACTTGGTATGGAGGACTCTGGGGCTTTTTCAGAGGGAACCTCGGCCCCTGTGGCTATTTCTCTGAAGGGAAACCTAGGGGGAGTGCCTTTATTGCAGAGGGGTGCCCTTAGGCCACGGACCCATTTCCCAGTGGGGACCACTGAGGCCTGGCCACCAGCCCTGCCAGCTCACCCAGGCAATCCCCATGGTGCGTTGCCGCGAAGCCGGGGAAGCAGAGGCAGTGGTAGGAGCCGACGCTGTTCTTGCAGGTCCCGTTTCCACACCGTTGCTGGTCACACTCATTGACATCTACCCAGAGCAAAGCCCCCAGGCCCCACTCAGTCCACCAAGAGCGTCGGGGGTGGGGCTCAGGGAGTCGGGGCTGGCTGGACCGAGCCCACCTCCCTGCACCTCGTCCCATCCACATGGATGGGCAGTGATCCCTGGGGGTGATGGCTGGGAAGTACCCTTGGTAGTATTTATCACCCCCATTTTACAGATGGGAAAACTGATGCAGAGGGAGGCAAATTAGTTATTTATACCCAAGGTCTTAGTGCCAGGACTCAAACCAGGTGTCTGTCCACTGGGATGACAGAAGCAGTCTGCCCCCCAGGGAAATGCAGACCCCAGACCCCTCACCCAAGGGTGCCCGGCCTGAGAGAACGGAGCTAGAGGGGTGCTCACCCATGCACATGGTCTGGTCTGCTGAGGTCTGGAAGCCATGGTGACACAGGCACACGTAGCTGCCTTCTGTGTCCACACAGTCGCCATGGCTACAGACATTGGGGATCTCCCGACACTCGTTCCGCCCTACGGGGAGGCAGTGTGCTGTTACCAGGCCCCCATTTCTCATCCCCCAGTGTTGCTCTGTCCCCTCCCACGCTGTGGAAGGGGAAGCATAAGCTTGCCTAGAAACCTCCACTAAAGCTGCCGGGGCCCCAGGCTGCAGCACGCCATGAGGTGTGGAACCCCCTTGCAGTCAACAGTGTGGCCTTTGGTCCTGGTTCCTGAAAGCGGAGCACACCTGAGGCCAGTGAGTGGGGGCTGACCAGGCCAGGAGAGACCACCTGCGGCCCGATGCTGACTAAGCCTCAGGAGGCACGATGTCATCTATCATAGGATGTGGGAGGCCGACAAAGGCCTTGGGAGACGAGGCTCAATGGAGCTTCCTGGGTGGAGAGAGCGAACAGCTGCTCTCAGGAGGGTAAGATTGGCCCCAAGGGGCATGGAAGCTCGGTGTTGACCCCTCCTGGGCCTCGCCCTACATGTCTATATCCTTTTTCCCGCTGTATTAAGTACAGTCCTTTCCCTGGAGTTTGTGAGTCACTGCAACGAAATATCAGACCAAAGAAAGAGAGCAGGGGCTGGTGCTGCTGACCTGGCCCCAGGTGAACAGGGATGAGAGAGAGAAGGGGCGGGTGCCTGCTGACCTGGCCCCGGGTGATGGGGATGAGACAGAGAAGGGGCCGGTGCCTGCTGACCTGGCCCTGTGTGAATAGGGTGAGAGAGAAAGGGTTGTGCTGGCAGCAGGGGTCTGGCAGACCAGGGGAGGGAAGCTGAGATTTACACAGCACGCAGTGGTGTGTGGAGGGGATTTATCATCCACCACATTTGGCATCAGAGGTGGGTGAGCTCAGCCTCCCTGGACTGGTCTGCACATGTGCTGATCCACGTCCCTTCTCAGGCCATCCTCTCCACTGCCGTATAAGCAGGGGCTCTTGGCAACACTCCACAGTGCAGACGAGGGAGCGAGTAGTGAGCCTGGGCAGAGCGGTGCCTCCCCAAGTCACAGCAGGTGGCAGAGCCGGGCTCTGTCCTGTATCCTGTCACCTCACCTCCCCACCCCGTGCCCTCCCCAGGGGCCCCACTCACCCACACAGGCCCCGCTGGGTGACAGCCTGTAGCCGCGGGTGCACTCACAGTGGTAGCTGCCCGGGATGTTGATGCAGTCGGTGTTCTGCTGGCAGGGACTCTCCCCACCGGCACACTCATCCATGTCTGGAGAATATGGTGAATGAGGGAGCACGGGGTGAAGGAGAAGCCTCGCTGCCACCCCAGACCTAGCCCCCTGATTTCAGAGTGGGTGGTCTTTCCACAAACAGCCAGAACTGGATGGAGGGTCATGGAAAGGAGTTAGCCCCATTATACAGATGGGGAAACTGAGGCTCACAGAATTTAAGTGACTTGCCCAGAGAGCACAGTGGGGGACCAGCGTTCGACCCAGATCCCCATAGGGGTTGGGACAGATTCCTGAGGTGGGGTGGGAGTAGGGCTAAGACAGAGGGGTGGGGTGGCACCTTCGCAGACCAGCAGGACGCTGTTGTAGTTGAAGCCCATAGGGCACTCGCAGCGGAAACTCCCGATCTGGTTGATGCAGACACCGTAGGCACAGATGGTGGGGATCTCCCCGCACTCGTCGATGTCTGGGGAGGGGATCAGCCATCAGGTGAGCCTGGCCCCCAGGACATTCTGGGGACTCTGAGCTAAGGTTCCCCTGGGGAGAAGACCTGAGGTCTCCAACCAGCATGTGCTCAAAAAGCCTGCTCGGGTCACAACAAACCTGCTCACACCAGAGAGAAATTAGGGTGCAGGAAGAAAGACAGAAAGAGGGAGAGTGTGTTTTCACTACAAACACACATTTCCTGTGACATAGGAACCCTGCCCACCACTTGTCTGTCAGTTTGCTTGACCCAAGCCATGGTATTTTCAATTGCCTCATATGCATGCAAAAGCTGGACAGTAAAGAAAGAAGACCAAGGAGGAACTGAGTACGGATTACACCTCAACATAAAGAAAACAAAAATCCTCACAAGTGGACCAATAAGCAACATCATGACAAATGGAGGAAAGATTGAAGTTGTGAAGGATTTCATTTTACTTGGATCCACAATCAACGCCATGGAAGCAGCAGTCAAGAAATCAAAAGACGCACTGCATTGAGCAAATCTGCTGTAAAAGATCTCTTTAAAGTGATAAAAAGCAGATGTCACTTTGACGACTAATGTGTGCCTGACCCAAGCCATGGTGTTTTGAATTGCCTTACATGCATGTGAAAGCTGGACAATGAATAAGGGAGACCAAAGAAGAACTGATGCCTCTGAATTACGGTGTTGGCGAAGAATATTGAATATACCACGGACTGCCAAAAGAACTAATAAATCTGTCTTGGAAGAAGTACAACCAGAATGCTCCTTAGCAGCGATGATGGTGAGACTTCATCTCACATACTTTGGACATGTTATCACGAGGGTCCAGTCCCTGGAGAAGGACATCATGCTTGGTAAAGTAGAGGGTCAGCAAAAAAGAGGAAGACCCTCAACGAGATGGATTGACACAGTGG